AAAAATCTACAACAAACAAAAGAAAAAGACAAAGAAGCAGCCAAATTAGCAATCCTCAACAACTTTTTAATTTTTACACCAGGAGCTAAAGTTCTGTTTCAGGAAATCACATCCCCAGTAATTGGTGGTTGTAGTATTAAGCTGTAAAAGAGTTCATACACCACTAGTTGGCAGTGTTGTACATATATTATACATGAATTATTGTCAGCTAGTAAGTGTCAAACTGAACTTGTGCTTTAAAATTAGCTTCCGCTAGTTTTCCTATGGCATAAGCGCTTTTGAAGTTGCAGACCTAAATATTTTCATAAGCGCTTTAGAAATTGTGGAGCTAATCCAAAAATTAGCTCCGCTTTAGAAATTGCGGAGCTAATTTTTGGATTAGCGCTGCCCACCACTGTACAGCGCACAGGGATTGGTGTTAAAAGAGACATATGACACTTTTAAATCCTTTTTCACAAGTGGAATAGCACTGCCTTGGTCTGAATTCCTCCTTATTGCAACTCCACAYGCCCCGCCCCTTTTCTGAGCTGTGTCTCAGATCAGCTCTAATCGAGGCTCTTCATGCCCCGCCCCCCTCCAGCTTTCAGTCTGYATTAAACGCTTCAACGTTATAACATCCGTTTCGAATAAAAGGCGACAGATTATTTTTTCGTCCTTTTCTGACCTGCAGATCATTTCTGTCTTTAAATTGAACCGTGAGCTGAATCATTTCTGTCGTTRTCTCTGCTCTTCAGCAGAACACATCCTGGGTATTTTATTTCGTCAGAGTCAAGGTTAGGGRGGCAGTGACTCATCAACGGCAAACAGCTTCTGTGTCAGGTAGCTTTAGAGACAGCTCCTCTGTAGAACAACAACAAAAAAACCCTAACATATTCATTCCTTAACGTGCCAAGAAAATGTTCTCCGGCGCTAATCCGTCCATTTCACAGTCAAGGTCGATTAGGATCAGCTATACATCGCAATTTCAAATCCTCGTTTTTCTTTTAGACGCTGTAATTGTGCTCATGCTTCGGGGAGAGTGGAGGTCAGAGAACAGCGTCCTGGTGGTGGYTTCGTTTTTCTGGAGAACAAATCTGAACAGGGATGAACGTTTGAGTCACCGAAGCATCATCCTCATCTCCTTCTCGAGTCATAAAAAAATGCAAAATCACTGATTTTCTTTATAGCMCCCAGTATTTTTCTCCCAGCAGAGTCTTAGTTAATAAGCAGTGAAAGTAAATGTTTTAAAGCTTTATGGTGAGGGGGTGTTTATATTTCTGTCGGCGGTACAGGCAGAGAAAACTCAATTACCCTGAGAGGAGCTGTTTGAAGGATGATTTGTGTGTGGGTGTGTGTGTGTTTGTGTGTGTGTGTGTGGAGGTTCCGTCATATTGCCTGGTGTTATCTCTGCACAGTTCACAGGAACTTCTATCCTCAGAGTAATAAACCAGTTTTAAATCTCTGCAATACAAGCACGCGCTCATTCACATAACCAGATTTGGTTCCCGGACCCGCCGATACAATGAGCTACAAATAGAAGCAGCGAGTGCGCACCGAGCATGTGACAGTTTATCTTCAGCGGGTTATTTTCTTCCGCGCGTTAAGATYGAGGGAATTGTTTTATCTGCAGTGGAATACTTTTCAAAGGAAGTTGTTACGAACTAACACTAAAAATATTTGTTTGGAAACTCTTCAGAACTGACATGGACACAAACCTGCTCCCAAGAACACTGGAGCTAAACATGTCATAATTCATTGAATTGTGTAAACCCTGAAAGGAGCAAAACACTAGCTGAATGGTTAAATGAAAAAGTAACAAAACACTAATAAAGAAGCAAAAGTGTWGCTAAAAGTAACAAAATATTAGCTAAACATAGCATTACACTAAAAAATATTGTTTTGGATACATTTGTTATAATTTATCCAATAAAATCTACAACATATCAAAATAAACCCTTTAAAATTAAGTTAAAACTACTAGATTATAATCTTCTGAAAGTAAGTGAAATAATSTACCAGTGCAGTGAGATTATGAGAAGGGGGTCCCTGTAGTCAGTTTCAATGGTCCAAGACATGATTGACTGGATTGACGGTGGGATTTGAAGAAACTGGGGGRAGCYGGGAYTAGCTTGTTCGAATCAACCAGGAAGCGCCTATTTTTTTTAAATATAGTGATTATTTTAGTCTTAAATTGAGACAGGAAGTTGCTAGCTGCACGACATTTGAACGCCGTACCATCCCTAAAAAAGATTGCTAAAAATCAATATGAATATTAATCATAACTTGAGACAGGAAGGTTCTTGATGCATGAAATTTGAAGTCAATAAATTATGTTAAATTCAGAATCATTTTTATTTCAGTCACTGTTCTGTTTTAAACTGTATATAGTCAGTCAATGAATCATAACTCCGCCCACAAACCACCTCCGCCAATCACGATTAAGGCCAACTCCGCCCACACTCCATCTCCGCCAATCACTGTTAAGGCCAACTCCGCCCACACACCATCTCCTCCAGTCACGGTTAGGGCCAACTCAGCCCACACACCATCTCCACCAATCAGGATTAGGGCAAACTCCGCCCACACACCATCTCCACCAATCATGATTAGGGCCAACTCTACCCACACACCATCTCCACCAATCACGATTAGGGCCAACTCGCCCACACACCAAATCTGCCAATCAGGATTAGAGCCAACTCCGCCCACACACTATCTCCGCCAATCACGATTAGGACCAGCTCCGCCCACACTCCATCTCCACAAATCACGATTAGGGCCAACTCCGCCCACACACCATCTCCTCCAGTCACGGTTAGGGCCAACTCCGCCCACACACCATCTCCACCAATCACGATTAGGGCCAACTCTGCCCACACACCATCTCTGCCAATCACAATTAGGGCCAACTCTACCCACACATCAGCTCCACCAATCACAATTAGGGCCAACTCTACCCACACACCAGCTCCACCAATCACAATTAGGGCCAACTCTACCCACACACCAG